TTATGAACAGAACACTGTTCTAGTTAATGTAAAGAGGCAAGAAACAAAAAGCGTAACTATTTAGAAAGTTATTTATGAGACAGTAATTTAGGAGACAAAAATTATACTTTTTGTAGATCGTATGAGGGCATATCCTATTTAAAAAAAGAGGGGGAGGGCTGACTAACCTGCTAAACTAACAAAACTAAATAAGGAAATAGTAAGTAAATCAGTCAGTAGGCATTTCTATACACTCAAAATAATCAGTCAGGAAAACATAATGAAAAGAAGGCCTCACTGCAATCAATTTATAGCAACAGCAGTAGAATGAGTTCTTTAATCTCACACAAAGAATTTATTCCAAGTACATTTATTTGGCCTAGAGAAAAATTCAAGGATTTTAATGCCCTCCTGTCACTGTAACTTAGATCACTGCCAGGTTGACCCTTACAAAATGTATGCAATAATTCTGAAGCTCCCAGGAGTCTTTTCTATTTAAAAGGGAGCTGATTAGGGGCCTCCCCTGGTGGCGCAGGAGGTTGAGCACAGTGCTGTGAATTGTCCACATTCTCTGCAGCACCGGTTTGATCCCAGCCGGCCGTCGAGGGTCCCACATGGAGCAGCAGACCTCTCCTGTCTTGCCCACTGCTCCCCTCAGCAGTGTGTTTCATCAGTCTGTCTGTTCTGTTCCCCACTCTATCTCTGGTGAATCCTCTCACCCTCCTGTGCATCTGGCCTGTACTCCAGTTCTTATATAAATAATTATTTTTTTTTAAAAGGGGGAGTTGATTAGAATATTTTAAAACAAAATGGCAAAACTTAAGTTATCAAATATTTAAGGGTAAAAATCCTACTGAACCAACAAATTCATTGTCTAATAAAAATGGATAATCAACAAAAAGCCTGCTGTGATATTTCCACATTCATCATTAACTATAATAAACACATGTTAACATAGCAGAAAGAAAAAACAAGCAAACTTGTTTTCCAAACACGCAGGCCCTGAGTTACTGCTAGTTAACACAGAACAGAAAATCTGAGTGAGAAGACTACCTACTAGTATCTTCCAAAGATTTGCTGGGGTCCTAACATACCAAATTTACATCTCAGCTGCCAGGCAAAGCCACCTCTAAATAAATCCAAAAATAGATGGTTTACCCTTTTCTGAAGTCCTCTGTAATGGCAGGAACAGGACACAGTGCAGGTTTTCTGATCCCATGCAGACCGGGTAAAGGAGGAGACAGAGTCCTCCGTGGTTTTGCAGGTTTTTATTGGGGTTCAGTGGGTACGTGGCAGGCAGGGATGCTGGGGGGCTAGGAGGCTGGCAGTCCTCCCAGCCCCCAGCAAATCTTCACTTTATCTGGGCTCTCTGGCGTTCTCTGCTTCTGCTTCGGGCTTCTTCTCTTTCGGCTTCTGCTGCTGCTGGCGTCCCCGTGACACCGCCCTTAAAAGCCCAGTCTTAGCCCAGGTGAATCCCATCTACCTATGCCCACACCCTATTCCAGGTGCCCGCCATCAGGCATGCATTCAGGACTGCAAGGATCCATCATCTATCCTGATGGCGGGAGGGCAGAAAAGCCTGACATTTTTCCTACCCTACAGTCCACCCCCTCAGGGTTTTCTGCCATATAGTCTTCACATATACAATTTTCTTAGCAAACAAAAACAATGCAGCCATGGCCCACAAAAGCAAATACATTGCAATATAACAAAATACAACAGAACACAAATAAGTACAGGCAGGGCCCCAACCTAGCGCAAAAGACAATTACTGGTACCAGCAGATGAGCCACCAAATCTGCTGCCAAAGGCACTGCTCATACGAGGGAGAGGAATCTCTCACAGCATCTACTGTAACACACCAGGAGCTGTCAGGCTTCCTGGCCTTCTCTGGCTGTAGTCTCGGCTACAAGCCACACACAGCATCCACCCCCAGGAGGATGCACTCGCTCTGAGATTGGCGATTCTATTCTGTTGGGGGTAATCGCCAACCCTCAGGGTTTCTGTCTGCAGTCGCTCCAACATTCGGCCTTCATAGCCACCAATGTGACTCGCAGACCCCTGCACTCAGGCCAACCCACTGCACAAGCACATGGGTTGGGGATCCAAACGCTACATGCGGCTTGGGCTCCACCCCAAGCCACGTTCCCCACCTGTCCCCCAAGGACGGGTTCCTCAGCTCCTCACCCTCACTCGACAATGAGCAGGGCATCACCCACAGGTGATTTTACGAGACTCACAGGTCTTCAGCATACTTAGGCTGCTTAACAGCCGTTCAAGGCTTCCCAAACTTAACATCAGCACCAGCTTTTGCCTTCTCAGTTGGCTTTTCTCCTCCACCTGGCTGCTGGGTATACACAGGCTGCTTTTGGCCATCAAGGCCCACTGACCACCCCCAGATTCTCAAAAAAAAACCATAACCTGCCAAGGTCCTCCGCCTTCTTGCGGGATTGTCAGTCCAAGTTCATCAGTCCATCAGTCCAAGTCCATTAGGCCTCTCCCTGCCATCAGCACTGGCGAGCTCCAAATCCTGATCCTCTCTTCCCGATGATTCTTGCTGCCTCAGGGGTCACTGGCTGGTCCTCTCAGGCGTCTCCTCCATGCGAGGTCTCGTCCCACAGCTCCTGGACCGTATCCACCTTCTGTGCTGCCATGGTGCCTCCAGCATCGTCACAGGCAAACACTGTTACTCCTTAGTCCCTCCAGGTCTTTGGAGGGCTCCAATACCCGTCTGCATGGATCATCCTACCGACTACGCCAATGGTAATGGCAGGAACAGGACACAGTGCAGGTTTTCTGATCCCATGCAGACCGGGGAAAGGAGGAGTCAGAGTCCTCAGTGGTTTTGCAGGTTTTTATTGGGGTTCAGTGGGTACGTGGCAGGCAGGGGTGCTGGGCAGTTCTCCCAGCCCCCAGCAAATCTTCACTCTATCTGGGCTCTCTGGCATTCTCTGCTTCTGCTTCGGACTTCTTCTCTTTTGGCTTCTGCTGCTGCTGGCGTCCCCGTGACACCGCCCTTAAAAGCCCAGTCTTAGCCCAGGTGAATCCCATCTACCTATGCCCACACCCTATTCCAGGTGCCCGCCATCAGGCATGCATTCAGGACCACAAGGATCCATCATCTATCCTGATGGTGGGAGGGCAGAAAAGCCTGACATTTTTTCCTTACCCTACATCCTCTAAAGGTGATTTTCCCCAAATGCAAATGTCATAAACTTTACAGGCCATTTTATAATGAGATTGCTAATATGCAGAACAAGAAATGTCTGCAAATGTTTCTACAGGCCATTTTCTATGAATCACCCTTCCCACCTGTGTGACTCCCTTAACAACGATCTCCTCTTCCCTTTCTTCCTAGCTAACAAAGCTCTAGCCTTGTTCACCTTCCCAGGCAGTCATGTCCTCCAGGGGTGGCTGAGCAACTTCTCCAGACATGGGCTGAATGATGTCAAGTCAGAGTTTACACTGGGAGTGTATTCCCAAAGTCAAGTCATTGGTCTGGGCATGGACACAATTCTGGTCTAGATCTGAGGGATAATTTTTGGGAAGTTTTTCCAAAGCCTCTAAGAACACAGGACAAGTACAGTTTTTTGTGTTGTTTCATTTTTTTTTTTCATATCTCTGAAGCTAGAATATAATATAATAATGTGTTATATATGTTATAAAATTATATAATACAATAATACAAATACTTCAAGTTTTTTTTAAGATTTATTTGTTCATGCATATAAGAACCGGGGTACAGACCAGATGTGCGGGAGGGTGAGAGGATTCACCAGAGACAGAGCCGGGAACAGAACAGGCAGACTGAAATACACTGCTGAGGGGAGCAGTGAGCGACAGGAGAGCCCTGCTGCATCATGTGGGTATCTCTGGGGCCAGCCAGGATCAAACCTGAGCTGCAGAGGCTGCTAACAGCTTCACAGTGCTGTGCTCAACCACCTGTGCCACCAAGGAGGCCCTACTTTAAGTTTTTGAGTTGCTGAATCAACCAATCTTGAAAACACCTATTTCCAGACCTTTTGTTATGAGAGATAATAAATTTCTGTAGTGTTTAATTTGCTTCCACTTAAATTTTCTGTCACCTGCAATCAAAATCTTGCAATAATGCACCATCCAGATGTTCAGCTAGAACTCACTCCACCTATAACATAAGCCTCTGAAATAGACATAAAACACAAAGCTAATCTGTAAAACTGGAAGAGGATATTCCTTCTATTGCCAAACTAGCTCTTTACAAAGAGAAGTTATTAATCAACTGGAAACCATTCCATCTTTTGTAGAAATTACTTAAATCAACTGGAAACCATTCCATCTTTTGTAGAAATTACTTAAATCTCCTTTGTTTGAGATGAATACTTCTTTCACAAATTTGATGTACTTATTTAATATGGGGGGAAGAAGATTTTTATTACAATGGTTTTACTGTTACAGGTGGTAACAACCTAATTCTAATTTATCTCTCTCTGTTGGGGCCTAACTAAAAGAAATTGCATTAAACCAAAGAAACCTAATTGATTTATATGAAGATGAATTTCCTAAAAGAAAGCACTATGGAGAAAAGAATTCTCTTGGAAAAATGTGGAATCTCATTGACAAAAGTCTTGAAAATAGATTATTCATGTATCTGTGAAGCATAGGCACTATTTTGGATTTTATGACAATTCATCTCTGCCAGAAGGATGAATATCTACAGAGAAGATTTATTTTCTTTCTAAACAGAAATTTAAAAAATAACCTCTGTCAAAATAAAAGAGAAGTAAAATTTCTTAATCCTACACTCTGGAATAATCATAGTAACCATATACCAGCGCAAACCTGTAGATGCATCATATTCACCTCATTATCCTAAGACACAAAAAAGGCAAATAGTGTGACAAAAAAAAATCCTACTATCTCAAATTCCATAAAATCTTAATAGTGTCAATAATAGATTTATTTGGCCAGAAAACATGTAGTAACTATTTTAATTGAGTTAATTTATTAAATTATAAATGGAAACAAAACTCTTACTACTAGATTAAGAAGAAATGGTGTACTTATCAGAATGAAAGTTTCTGCCTTATGGCAATTCTATAGCAAAGAGTGCAAAAATTTTTAACTTTTTAAATTCAAAACTCCCCTATCCAAGAGTAGTGCTAAGTATATCTGTCCTATTAAAAAAATCTAATTTGATATATTTAATATTTACTACTACAGGCATCAAATCACTGCTTATATTTATAATGGTCAAACCCAGAATAAAAAACATTGAAAAGCAAATTTAAGTGTTTACTTCTTCTGGCAATTCATCACATTTGCTAACATGATGTGTAATGAACAACTGGTCTTTGATTTAGCAACTAAAATACAGATTAACTGCCAGCTGTCCATACAGGCACAGACCAAGAAGGGCAATAATTGATGGTATGGTAAAGAATGTCTCAGAAATATAGCCTACTGCTATGAAGTTTTTCACTTTTGTACAAATTAGGAAAAGACAACCTTTCCAAGCGATTATAGACCCAGAAGATGACTAGCTGAGGGAGTAAGCAGTTCTTTCATACACATTAGAAAATCATGTCTCTCTATCTGAAATTGTACAATGTACATCTTGCACCACTATATGCAGTAGCCCCAAACTTACTTTCAGAGTCCCATGCTCAGTAGCAAATAAGAACTCCCTTGTCTTCCAGGAATGCAGGAAAGTAAATCTCTTTTTTTTTTTTTTAGCACAAACACATTTTATATACTAACCAAAGGGATAAGCCTAATGAAACCAATACTTTGAAATAGTTGCATGTAAAAATTTGTAAAATATTTGTGATAAGGAAAATTGAATACAGAAATGGAAAAAAAAAAAGCAGTAGGGAGATTTGCTCATTGAACTGAGCTTGTTTATCACTGAAGCTAATTCCTGTCCAAAGTGATAATGGAGCCTTTTATTCTACTTTTTCATAGACCCAGATACAGGTAACATTGTTCATGATGCATTCCACCACTAATTTCCCATCTTCAAGTTTTCTTGGTATTGTGCTTTCCTTCCCATCCCATTCCTGATGTTGAACCAATGCACTATCGGTAAAGCTGCAGATAGTTTGAGCTTTTCTGCCATCAGCTGTAGTTTCTTCAAACTTTTCTCCCAGATCACATGAAAACTGTGTTGTTTTCAAAGTGCTCTCAATATTGACCGTGACATGATTTCCATCAACACTGATGACACAATCTGATTTGGCCATCGCACCCATTTTCCGAAGAGCCATCCGACACCTAGCTCCTTCATTGTATTCGTTGAAGCCACTGCTACTTATCAATCACCATCTTCCTACTAGCTGCTGAACAGTGGCCATGGTGGGCTCGGGAGGGCGTGCAGAGTGAGCGGTGGCTACCAAAGCCTGCCCTCATTCTAGAAAAGTGAGAGGCTGCTAAGTTTCTATTAAATCAAGGTCCTATTTTCACTATACATAGGTAGGGTAAACCAATACCAAAGAGATTGTGACAGATAAATTTACCTTTTGGTTGTAAAATATATTTTTAAACATAGCTTTAAAAAAGAATATTTATTTATTTATACAAGAACCGGGGTACAGGCCAGATATGCGGGAAGGTGAGAGGATTCACCAGTGAAAGCGGGAACTGAACAGGCAGACTGACTGAAATACACTGCTGAGGGGAGCAGCGGGTGAGACAGGAGCAGTCTGCTGCACCATATGTGGGTTTCTTGTGGGCCGGGATCGAACTCGCGCTGCAGAGGCTGTGGACAGCTTCACAGTGTGGTGCTCAACCTCCTGTGCCACCAGGGAGGCCCTAAACATAGCTTTATACCTTTTTATAACATAAACTTCAACTTTTTTGAGGGAATATACATTTATCAGTATGTATGAGTTTTATCTATGAATATGTACTTATGATGCTTTTACTTTTCAAAGAAGTATCATGAATATAAAGAAGCTACAGAAGCTACAATGGCTCCATTAAGTAATTTTTAAGTTTTTATTTAAAATTTGCCTTTGAACTTTACATTAAAAACAATATAAGGGCCTCCCCTGGTGGCACAGGTGGTTGTGAAGCTGGCCACAGCCTCTGCAGCACGGGTTCGATCCCCACCGGCTGGCAAGAATCCCACATGGCACAGCAGACCTCTCCTGTTTTGCCCGCTGCTCCCCTCAGCAGTGTATTTCTTCAGTCTGCCTGTTCTGTTCCCTGCTCTGTCTCCCGTGAATCCTCTCACCCTCCTGCATCTGACCTGTACCCTGGTTCTTGAATAAAAATAAATAAATCTAGGGCCTCACAGGTGGCGCAGAGGTTGAGCGCTGGGTTGCGAAGCTGCCCACAGCCTCTGCAACGCCCGGTTCAATCCCCGGCCACGGGGCGAGGGTCCCACATGGTGCGCAGACTTCTCCTGCCTCCCGCTGCTCCCCTTAGCAGTGTACTTCGTCAGTCTGCCTGCTCTGCCTTGCTCTTCGCTCTGGCTCTGGTGAATTCTCTCACTCTCCCACACTTCTGACTGTACCCAGTGCTTGTATTAATAAATAAAAAATAAAATCTAATAAATAAATAAATCTTTAAAATAAATAAATAAAAACATTATAACTAGTCATTACCAAAGTTTGGGCTTCAATCAAGTTGACTAAGAGAATAATGTATTAAACCTTCTGGATTGAAAACACAAGACTAAAATCTATTTTAAAAAAAAAATTCAGTATTGTAAACAAATAAGGAAATAATATTTTCTTGTTTAAAATTAACTACTATTGGGCCTCCCTGGTGGCACAAGGGTTAAGCACCTCACTGTGAAGCAATCCACAGCCTCTGCAGCACGAGTTCTATCCCAGGCAGGCTGGCCAGGGAGCAACTCTCATAGTGAAGCAGACTTCTCTTATCTCGCCGGCTACTCACCTCAGCAGTGTATTTCAATGACTCCACCTGTTCTGTTTCCTGCTCTGTCTCTGGTGAATCCTCTCACACGCCCCCTTCCCCCGCATCTCTGACCTACATCCCAGCTCTTGTATGCATAAATAAATAAATCTTTAAAAAAAATAAATTATATTATATTAACTATTATTTAAATAGGAAATGTACTTGGTACTCCCAGAATAAAAAAAAAGTCTGACAGAAACATCAATTCCAAAAAGCACCTGCACCCCTATGTTTATAGCAGCACTATTTACAATAGCTAAGCTTTGGAAACAGCCCAGATGCCCAAAAACAGATGACTGGATCAAGAAGATGTGGTACATATATACCATGGAATATTACTCAGCATTTAAAAAAGATAAACACATGCAATTTGCAGCAACATGGATGGCGCTGGAAGGGATCATGCTCAGCGAAATAAGCCAAAAAGAAAAAGAAAAATACCGGATGGTCTCACTCATAGCAGGAATCTAGAAAACTTAAATAAGGGACCAGGAAATTGAATAACTATAAGAAAGTGAAAATCAACAAAAATTATGAACCAGAGACACTTTTTGTGGGGTGAGGGGAGGGAGGGGAGGGATTGGGGTCAGAATGGAGGGGTTGCAATTGTATGGGGAATATAAAAATAAAAATAAAAATTGAATAATATTTAAATAATAATTTTGAAAACCTTGAAATTTATGATATTCATAGAGAATATAAATTTCCAAAAATGAGTCAAGAACAAGTCTGAATAGATCAAAATACATAAAATTTTACGTATGAAATTCAGTTCCTTGTAAGTTAAAATTTGATGGACAAAAATAATCCACATAACTAAGTGTAAAATATCAAATAACTGCTAATAAACTTTCTATGGCTAAAATAAAAAAAAAAAGTCTGAAAATACATGTACTTACATATCTACTTGTTATAATTAAACTCAAGTTGTTGGTGCTTTAAAGTAAAATAAATTGTAAATCTTTCGCTTAGAGTGACTGGCTATGATTAATGATACTGTAACATCTATACAAGTTTTTCATGAGCGAACAGGCAAAAATATTACATATTCTCTGCAGTGGGATATAGATTATGCCAGAAAAGAAGGGGGATGGACAATAACAGCTGTTTGAATGAAAATCACTGGCTGCTCTGACTTCTGATACCAATTTATTTGTAGCTATAGGGCAATGAAAGGTACTGATAAGATCTACCTTCTAAGTTTCTAGCTACAATTTTCAAAAACAATACCACATGTCACAGAGACACAACCATCAGAATCAAGCAAAAAATTCAAAATCCTACTGAGCAACTCAAGAAGGTCAAGCCATGTCCACTTGGCAATTTCTATCAATGCTTGATTGCCCAAATTATAAGATTTGTGGATTATTCAACCAGAAACCAAGCACAGGCTTTGAAGACAAACAGCTCTGACTAAATCTGAATCCTGGTTTCAAACCATGGGTTCACCACCTATGAACTCTGAACTCTGAAAGACATGTGTAAAAATTATTTTACCTCTTAGTACTTTAATTTCCATATATACATAAAATGGGGTAACAAAGTAACTACCTTAAAATTATTCCAATAATTAAAATAGATTATATATTTTAGATACTGCCTGGCACCTTATGCATACTCAGTAAATCCTAGCTACTATCATTATAATTTTCACCAATAGTTGTGGTTTCTTTATTTTTCTTTTGATCCAGAAACGCCACTTCTGGAATTCACCCAGAAAAAAATAACCCAAACTACAATAGAAACACAAAAATACTTATCACATGGTTATTTACAGTGGTGAAAAGTAACTACAATCTAAATGTAGAGCAATAAGGAAGCAGATGAGTAATTTATAAAACAATCATATGTACATCATAACAATATAAAATTATATTTAAAATGCACATAAAAGTAGAACAGCAAGATGGCAACAAAGTAAAGATTTGCATCCTCCACACATATTCACAACCAAATTATAACTAAGATAAACAGACAGTGTTGTATACATCAAAAGCAATGGCAGGACAGGTAGGGGATTTAACAAAGCAGAATACATGCAAAAATTAATAGATACTGATGAACAAACTGGGGCTTCTGAGGTTAAGAAGGAGAGGATAAGGAGAAAGAGGGATAGCGGTGGGGATAAAAATAATAAAATATCCATTAAGAACCTAAAGCTGGGAAAATTACTCATTATTGTTATTATATAAGCAGCTGAATCCAAGGAGCTGTTTTTTGAGGGAACGTTAATGGTCATTTGTAGCATCAATTTTTGAATGTTAAGTTCCCCAGTAAAAAACAGATGGCAAATTCAAACTAAACATATTGGAGGAAGGTTAATAAGGGAATATTTACAAAGTTTTGAACAGGGTTAGAAGCTCCACATAAGGATTTAGCAGTCCCCTATGGGTAGAAAGAGCAGAGTATCACTGTTTCCACTGGGATAAGAAAGGGACCTGTTTGTTAGCCATGTAAGGAAAACACAGTAAATCATAGACATCCTCTGAGAGAGAAAGCAGATTAAATAACCTGAAACTTTTGCTTCATAATTTCTGGTTTTTCTTTCATTTAACAGGAGTAACTTCAATTTTTCTATGAACATTTTGAGATATGAAATTATTTTAGATTAAAATTAAAATATAATTTAAATATATCATTCTATAAATACTATTTCCTGTTGCTATGAGTTATTTCAAATTTCCTTTCATATTTTTGTCAATTACCTTGTTTCCCCCATCGTGCATTTTCAGAAGTTTTTTGAGTTTTTAGATACTGTTCGCTTTGGCAGACAGTGGAAAAAGTAAGCAGTTTCACTATTAATAAGAAGCGCTGACAGGCACAACTAGACTTTGAGGAAATTTGAGAACTGAAGGAAAAATCAACATACATGCATGCAGATAAAACACTACTAGAAGAATGGTAGTAGAGGGGCTGAAAATGCAACCCTGATATTAGTATGAATTATTAATATCATTGGTTTTTCTGAAGTAATTTCTTAATTTTAGTCAAATAAAAGCTCTTTTAAGATTTCTTTCATTCATGAATAGTTTTACCAGAGATAATGGTATTCAAGTCTGACATATTTAGCTTCTGTAGGTTGTTTGTCCTCATTGATTAACACAGATACAATTAGCATTAAAAGTTTAGTTGTAAAAAAAATAAATGTTTATTTAAAAACATTTTTTCTTTACTATCAATAAGATACTTGTATTACTTTCATAATTTTAAAATCAGTTTGTATGTAAATGTTTATTTGTTACAGATTTATATTAGTGTTCATTAAATAAGATTATTAAAATGGTAATAAAAATTAAAACACAAATATGACTGAAATGAGTTTTGTGTCCATCATGAATTATGTGCCTATATTTAAAATGGACAAAGCTCAATGCCTACTTACATGTTAGACTAAATGAGATACATATTCTTTTATTTTAAAATCAGTGAAAGGGAAATGAAATAATTTAAGAAAAAGATGCTGTGTTGTTTACAATAGCCACGCCTTATATTAAAACCTAAATTGTTCCTGGTAACAAAGTAAAACATTAATACCTTTCCATTTGAATAAAAGGCCAAGGAATGTTTTAGGAATCCCCAAAAATGTCTAAATATAAAGGAGAAAAGAAACAAAGGTCAAGCCATATTCACTATTGTCCTAATTTGCTTTTCT